GGTACCAACAGTGTTGCTTCCGTTGTTCATATCGTTATTTTCATGTGACGCCATTGAACCGGAACAAGCGACAAATAATTTAGAATAATTATAAGTTTGTAAAGTTGTATATAAATTCGAGATCAAGTTATCTGTTCAGAAAATAAAACTGCAGAGTTGAAGAACAGATTATTTTGTCAAATTATTAACAACTTAACAATCATTTAAAATGAATTAGAAATCATGCAAAAACCATGAACTGGAAAAAATTGACAAAAACTAATGAACAAAATTTGATTTGCTAAAGCCAATTCGATTTAAGCCTGTAGGTAAATTTTAGAGAATCAAATCAAACCGAAAGCCTGTGTATTCACAGTTTTCTTAAATCGAATTCGCCGCCTCACCGAAGTGCAAGAGGTTTTGATCGGTGTTCGATTCCCAGGATACAATCGGTTGTTGGTTTACGCTGCACTACGTTAACCACCTGCGAACTAGCTGTGATATACTCTATCTCACAAAGAAATTATAAATACAAGGAATAACTTGAAAGTGAGAAAAAGAAGATTGTTGCTTAGAGGAAGAAGCTTGCATTTCATTTGTAATTTTCCAACTTAGAGAGACTCCTATTTATATCAATGGAAGAAAAGTTAGCTTATTAATCAATGAGTTAAACCATTCATTGATAAAGGAGTTAAAAATATAAAGGAACTTGAGTTACTTGAGTTATATGATATGAAGAGATTTCTATTTAATATTTTTCATTACTTTTATTCAATATTTTTCATTCAATTTAAACATAATGTCAGTTTTGATAAACAAATACCAAACAGAGCCATTTTTGATAAAAATTATCGAATGAGAAACGCTAGAATGAGGGTTTAATTGTACAAAAAACAGAAAAGGGCTATTGTTTCGTCTTCCTCAATTTGCTGCTTGAAACTGGAAAGGGATTTTGGAGGAAAAAGGATCCCCGATTGGAATTCCCCGGTTAACAACTCGGTATACTCTATTTCGATATTCCTAACTTGTTTACCTTGAATGCATTGATGATTCGAATGCTAAAATCAGTTGACTATTTACCTTCAGTTTCGACACTCATTTTCACGAACAAAATTTTTCAATCAAACTCCAAAGATTACTCATCATCGTCTCTCCAGACAATAACGGAATCTAATCAAACCAAAATTTTCATAACAAACCCGCTTTACAATTTTCTTTCCGAAACCCAAAATCCGAATAACCTGGTCAATCTTATCTGTTCATCTCTCAAGCAAAAGAACGATGCCCATCTGGCCCTTCTCCAAGAGAAAGGATTATTTCGTGAGTTCACGAACCATGAAATGTTTAGGGTTTTGCTTAGATGCCAAGCTGACTCATCCACTGCTCTTGCGTTTTTCAACTGGGTAAAGAATGACCTTGATAAACAACCAAGCACTCAAAACTACTGTATCATTATTCATATTTTAGCATGGTCTAAAAATTTTAAGCAAGCAATGGAAGTAATGTTGGAATTGGTAGAGTTGAAAAGAAATGTGAATTCTTCAGAAAGTTTGACGGTCTTTAAGATCTTGCTTAATTGTACTGATAAGTGTAATTGGGACCCTGTTGTATTTGACATGCTTATCAAGGCTTATCTCAAAAAGGGTATGGTTCGAGAAAGTTTTCAAGCTTTTAGGAAAGTGGTAAAGCTAGGATTTGTTCCAAGCACTATTACGATTAACTGCTTGTTGATTGGGATTTCGAGGATGAATTGTGGTGAAAAGTGCTGGGAAATTTATGAGGAAATGGTAAGAATCGGGGCTCATCCCAACTCATGTACCTTTAACATATTGACTCATGTTTTGTGCAAGGAGGGAGATGTGAATAAGGTGAACAAGTTTTTGGAGAGAATGGAGGAAGAAGGATTTGATCCCGACATTGTGACCTATAATATGCTTATTGATAGCTATTGCAAAAAGAGGAGATTGAAGGATGCTGTTTATATGTATAATATCATGAATATAAGAGGTGTGATGCCAGATTTGATCACACACACGACCTTGATAAATGGCCTTTGTAAGGGAGGTAATGCAAGAGAGGCTCATCGGTTGTTTCATCAAATGATTCATAGAGGGCTGAAACCGGACGTATTCTCATACAATACTCTTATATGTGGATATTGCAAGGAGGGAATGATGCAAGAGGCGAGGTCTTTGGTGCTTGACATGATTGACTGTGGGGTTAACCCTGATAGTTTCACTTGTTGGATGCTTGTAAAAGGATATCAGAGTCAGGATAAGTTGATTTCTGCGATGAATTTGGTGGTGGAGCTCTTGCGGTTTAGAGTGTCCATATCTGGATATGCATATGATTATTTGATCTTTGCTTTGTGCAAGGAGAATCGACCATTTGCAGCAAAATCCCTTTTGGAAAGAATATCTCAAGATGGCTATGAGCCAAATGCGGACATCTACAATGAGTTGATTGATTCTCTTTGCAAAAGTAGTAGTTCAGTGGAGGAGGCACTGAAATTGAAAGTAGAGATGGTAGCTAAGGATGTAAAGCCTAATTTATGTGCATATAGAGCTATTATTAGACGTTTGTGTGGATTAAACAGAAGCAAGGAGGCCGAATCTTTGATGCGAGAAATGGTTGAATCTGGCTTCCAACCTGATGTTGAAATTTGCAGAGCTTTGATGAATGGGCATTGCAAGGAGAAAAACTTCCGAGAGGCAGAATCATTGTTGGGCTCCCTTTCTAAGGAATTTCAGATCTTTGATGCAGAATGTTATAATGCACTTGCTAGTTTGCTCTCAGAGGAAGCTGGCACTACTGAGTTGATGGAATTCCAAGATAGGATGATGAAAGTAGGTTTTGCACCAAATATTTTGACATGTAAGTATGTAATTGATGGAATGTCGAAAGCCAAAGGAGTGTAAAAATGTTATTTCGGTGGCTTGCTATTGTATAATCCTTAACTTCATTTTCAATCCACCTTCTCTTAAAAGAGGCAATCCCAGGATCTCTGTTCATTTGTGTAGCCCTCATTTTAACACTTCATTCCCTTAGTTACTGTTCATTCACTGATTCCTCCAAACATCTCTCATATAAAAGTGGCTTTTGCTCTCTCTCTCTCTCTGCAAGTCCTCTGCTTTTGGACGAGCTCCTCTCTCGACCAAACCTTAAATAAGAAGAAGAAAGGTACAATTGCCCAGATCCAGTCCATTTTCTTCTTTTATATTTTTATTATTTATAATTTTTTTATTTTGAATGTTGAGCTTGCAGATGGGAATTTTACATTAGTTCAGTTGAAACAAGGGAATCAAGTTCCAGCGGTTTTTGATCGAACTGGGGAGGAAGTTCAGTGCCCTTTATTGAAGTATGAGGCTTTGGTATTCTTTATCCCGTCCATTTTCTTCTTCTTCTTTTTTTATTTTATTTTGAGTATTGAGCTTGCAAATGGGGATTTTACATTATTCAGTTGAAACAAAGGGGATAAAGTTCCAGCAGTTTTGATCGAATTGGGGAAGAAGTTCAGTGGCCTTTAGCGAAACAGGAGGCCGCGGTTTTCTTTTTCCCCTCTAGCTTAAGAGACTCTACCCATAAATTACTGTTCATTAGTGATTTCCTCATATTCACAAATGAATCCCCCTAGGTAATATTCAATAACTGGTTTGTTACTTTTACATAAAAAGTGCCTTTATCTCTCTCAATTTACACGTCTCTGCCTTCGTATAGCTCTTTCTCCACAACCAAACGAAAACCTTAAGGGAAGAAGAAAGTTAAAACACTTGATGGCGGTTGAGCCCGACACACAGCGGTGGTATCTGCAGAGCTTCAGCAAAGCGAAGATCAATAGACAAGTGAGAGCTTCGATGGCCAATGTGTTGAGAAGGTATTGAATGTTTCCATACCATGCGTTGTGAAAGTTTTCTTCTCCGACTGATGATGGTGTACACATCAGCTGAAGCTGTCATGGAGTTCTAGCATTCTGTAGAGGTATTTTCGGTGCTTCTTTTTTGTTTAGTCATTTTCCCTGCTTATGGATTATTCTTTTATTTACGTGGCGGATATTTTTCATTATTATGAGGGCATCTCATTGGTTATAGGCTGGTTTTTGTGGTTATACTACGATAGAGTGACGACTGAAGATGAGAACTGGTTTCAGAGTCTCGTAACTCTGCAATCAAATTTCTGTAACTTATATATCATTGGCATGAATTTCTCGTACAATTTTCAATTTCTGAGGTGTTTATTGTTGCTTCTTCACATGTTCTTGAGGTAAGAAATTGCACTTTGTTCGCTTAGGTTTTTTCATTATGTTTCGGAAATATAATTTTTAACTGCTGCTTTTTGTTTCTTTTGCAAAGTAATTCAACCCATAAATGAATAGTACCATCTTTCCTCTTCTTTTTATCATTTTTTATCTTTTCGTTCATATCTAGATTCAAACTGTTGGGTTTCTGATAGCCTCCCATCTAATGTAATAAAATAGCAAGGGCAGAATAGGGAAATGAATGGGGCAGTTAGCAGCACATGCAAGTAACAGAGGTAGCTGTAAAATTAGTTAGAAAGATCTATAAATAGAGAGGCAACTCGTAGGGTAGAGGGGAGGAATTAAGTGGATATAACCTGGGCTTTTGTTCTGAATGGGGCCAATTTGTTGATGAAATTCCCGTTCCATGCCTGTTTTGCTCTATCTCTAATACTATCCATCAACTGCAATGGAAGTTTTGCAACTCGGAGCTCCTCCTCCGACGATGCCGATGGCGATGGAAACACGTGTTCTTTGCCGCTGACGGAAGGACTGATTCCGACCAGGATTCCAAACAACTTCCGATCACGATTTTCTCCACGTCAAATCTCTCTTCTGCCCTTCTTACCTTCAATACTCATGCTTGTCTTATTTGCTGCTCTCTAGGCGCCTCCTGCTTCTGCAGATGAAAACTCCAATGACAATGCTACTAGAGATTGCCTCTTCTCTGGCGTTGAGGCTTAGACGCAATTGCTCTGTTGGTGTTGTTGGTATGTGGATCCGAATGCTGCTGGAAGAATTAAATTGCCTGCCTCAGCGACCTCTATTGGAATCGCAGAAGCAAAGGTATGCTCCGGTGAGCTCTCTACTATGGACAGCCGAAATTTGCCTATCGTTCCCTCTTTCAATTCTCTCCAAGTTTGCACAAGTCAATGACAATCTAGCCATTGAAACCACTCCCAAGCTTCATCATCCAAGCACACCGCGGCTTCCACTTTTTCCCTTTCCGACAATTGATTTCTTGCGAAAATTTCATCAGCTTTCCCTAGCCACCAATCTGGATTGCCATCATAGAATATTGATATTTTTAGTCGACCTAGCGAATCCAATACAGAATCGTTTGCTCGATCTCCTCCTTCCTGTTGCAACATTATGTGATCAAATCGCTTGAGTAATGAGCTCCATTTCTCCTGTAATTCCTTACTGAATTTTGTTTCCATCCCCCTAGAATCGAGTGCTTTGATACCAATTGATAAGGTCCTAACTATAAAAGGCAGGATTCTGTAAGAATCAAAGGAGCAACAATATATTATTGAACTAAAAGAAATTGCAGCAAGAAAGGAAATAACATATAGTCGTTTGAGAGGACTACACTCTCCTAAACCTCACTTTCACTCACTTAATTCCTCCCCTCTACCCTACGGGTTGCCTCTCTATTTATAGATCTTTCTAACTAATTTTACAGCAGCCTCTACTACTTGCACGTGCTGCTAACTAGTGGTGGGCGTGGGTTGGGTTGGGTTGGTTTTCGCCCCAACCCAAACCCGACCCACTGTGGTCGGTTTGATCTAAAATCAAACCAACCCAACCCATGTAAATGTTTCAACCCAATCCAACCCAACCTAATCAAGTTTCGGTCGGGTTGGTCGGTTTGGGAAAAACTTGATTTACTTAAATTAAAGAGCTGCCATCCATTGTAAATTATGTAGGCATTGCCATCGATTGAATTAGAAGAGATGCCAAAAGTGGAACATATGAATGAAACACATATGATCAAATCCAATCATAAAGAATACTTCATCCTACATATTATTGAAACACATTTTATCTCACAGCAAGTGGAACATTTCATCAGATATACAATAATCTACTGCACAGGAATGGGGATTACCTACATTTTTTGTCCTGCAAAAGATTGATTCTCTCTAGACAATCAGATTCAACTCAACATCCACGCAACCAAGTGAACCTTTGACCTGAACAAAACAAAGAATACTACAATAAATAAATAAAATAAATAGAAAACATAGAATTGAAACAACATTCAAACTGCTTGAATTATAAGATTTTCACCCCTTCTACATTTCCTTAATTTTCAAACAAATTGAACTCTGTTTTAGTATAGCAAAACACCATTACACGATTGTAATTTCCTGTCACTTAAAAGGAGAAAACTCTTGAAATAACAACACAGCAGAAAATTCTACCGAACCTTGAAGAAACTCTTGAAGTTTGGAGTCAATTTCAGATTAAAAAAAAAAAAAAAGGCATAAACGAGGCTGAAAGACGAGGATGGCCTTGCAGTAAGCAACCCAAGATAGAGTCTCAAATGAGGTGCACCATGTAGGAGAAAAAAAGCCGAAACATCTTTGCGAGTGAGACACCTTCGTTTCTCCACATGGTCTTCGAAGTGTTGCTTGATTTTTATGAGTTGTTTCATTTTTGCATCATTTTGTAGCATATGAATCTAGCATTTGAGAGGAGATTGAGAGCATGGCCTTGCAGTAAGCAACCCAAGATAGAGTCTCAAATGAGGTGCACCATGTAGGAGAAAAAAAGCCGAAACATCTTTGCGAGCGAGACACCTTCGTTTCTCCACATGGTCTTCGAAGTGTTGCTTGATTTTTATGAGTTGTTTCATTTTTGCATCATTTTGTAGCATATGAATCTAGCATTTGAGAGGAGATTGAGAGAAAATTGGGGGACAGAGAGATTAGGGCTTCATATTGTGGCTGGGAGTGAAGAAGAGAAACTGAAGAGTGTAAAATTTTAGGGCTTTTTTCATTAATGTCGTTTCCTTCCTTTTCCTTTTTTTTTTTTTAATGTAACCTTGTTGGGTTGGGTCGGGTTTCGTTGGTTAACCCACAATCCGACCCGACCACACAACCCACAACCCAAAACCCACCTAAAAATAGCAAAAAATTGACCCAAGGGTCGGGTCGGGCGGTTTCCGTGGGTTGGATTGGGTTTTGCCCACCTCTACTGCTAACTGCTCCATTCATTTTCCTATTCTGCCCTTGCTATTTTATTACGTTAGATGGGAGTCTATCAGTTTCATCCTATGAAGGTGAAGATGGTGGTATGTTCGCTGGGTTTGGATTGATTTTGAGCTCCGGTTAAAGGTTTATGATATTAATTGGGCTTAATATTTGGGTTATATTATTTGTTGGGCTAGGTTCAAAGGAATAGGGTAGTGGGTTTCTTATCTGTTTGTTTGGTTTGGTTAATGGGGTGGGCACAAGTCTTCGTCAATTTCCATTGCCTCTGATCCATGCTTATGTGGTTTATGGTTTTAGTGAGCTCTGTTTTATGCTTATAAATAATCGGTTGTTTTGTTTTCTAATATTTCTCTTGTACCTTTACACTTGCATTTTGCAGACTGGAGGGTGTTTTGTATATGGGCGAAGCAGAAAATTCTTACAGGGAAAGAGTAGATTGCAAAAAAAAAAAAAAAGTGTTCTTTTGGATCACTGGGTGGTTACAGATCCTGGTGGGATTTATTTTTGTTTGTGAAGTTCCATTTTCCCATGGAGCTACCAATCCTAATGATGGTAAGTCCAATAAAGAAAACCTATTTCTGATGTTGGCTATATGTTAGGTTTGTCTTCAATTAGGTGAGGCTCTATGTTCTCGGAAACGTGTATGAATTTGTTGTATGGTCATATAGTTGGTGAGTAACTGCAATAATTCAACTTAAATTTCTTGTGTATGTTGTAAACTGCAAAATTTAGCAACTTTTTGGATACTTCCTCAGACGATCTAAATAAATGGGTTTCCTCTACCATTTTATCTCATGGAGAAATTATCTCTCTTCAATAACTATAGATAAGTATAATATCCTTATCTAGAGAGGCACTTTATTCTCCTTTTGGTATCTAATAGAAGCTGCCTGTTGTCACTAGATCTAAAGTACGATATGGGGAATTCTGCCTCAATGTAATATTTTGATAGGAACCTGCTCTGAATTCTCACTTCTTCTTGTGTAGACACAAACGAAGATACGGCAACTAAACGAGCAATGAACTGGGAATTTCTAATATATTGCTGTGAATAGGTTGACACTGGTATGAATATAAAACTGAGAATTACAGCCTTGCAGCAAGAATATTTTATGTGAATAAAAGATAATGACTGATAGGGAAAAGATATTTGGGTGTTCGAGAGACCCAAAACTCTCCACTAGATTCTTCCTCAAATTTCTGCTTGCCAATACGGCTATTCTCTACCTATATTTATAGTACACTTCTAACAGATTTTCCTAACTAATTTTCCCTTTTAACAGACTTTAGTTTTCCATCCACTTGTAGAGTATTCCTCTTTTGGGTCCTAGAATGAGTGAGGTGGATTGGAGCCTATCATATTTATATGTGAAATATGGTAGCATTAGCAGCTTTAATACTTTCAATGATCACAAAGAATTTCTATGATACTCTGGCTATCAAATATTTCTTTCCTAGGAAACCATCTTTTTAATTTCTGTATGGTCTCTGCTTTGTGCATGGACCATTACTAAAAAGAATGACATATGACCTTTTTGTAAAAAGCGGTACGATTTTGTGCAGATTGAGAAAAAAATGGAAGGATGGGGTAGTTGAAGTAGAGACTGAGGATAAAGACACCGAAGGTGCCAGGACGTCTATGATACCACACATGTTTATAAAACTCTCATTGCTTCTGATACCAGCACTTATGGTGGTTTCTGTTCCTTGTCAAGCTGCGAAGGATTGCTTCCCCCCACCGGTAACTTAAATCACATTTGTCTTTCAATTTTAATTTAATATTGCCAATTGTTGTTGTTGTACAATAAGATTAGAGTCATTTGTTCATCTTATTTTGCTATGGTGATGGTTTTATCATACTTTGGTTTTAGGACTATAAACAACAGAGGCCTTCTCAGGAGCTTGTTGCTGAGGATATACATAGGATTGAGTGGAAATTTTGGCATATCTGCAGAGGTATGAACTTGGTATCTATTTCACTATGCTGTGTTTGAATGTATGGGATCACGTGTAAAAGTATATTGTGTTTGACTTGTTTCCTAAAATTGTGAATTTGTTATTTATTAACATATTCTGGAGCAGGCCAGCCTCATAGGCATTTGCTCACTATTCTTTATAGCATGAGTTCAGATGAATCAGATCCTATAATCTGTTTCCTTATTTAAGTTATGTGATTTTACAAGGAGAATATTTAAGATCATTGTATTCTCATATTTAAATCTCCTTATATATTTTGTTCAAATTTTAAGAAATAAAATTTTGTTTTTAAGATAAATATTAGATTTAAAGGTGAAATCTGTGAAAATATTTTTGTTTAGTGACAGGGAGTTGAACACTTCTTCCCTTTCTAAAGTTCGTAATTGATTTTTATTTTTTTTTCCTTGTATCTAAAACTGCATATTTGTTCCTGTATGTATCCCCAACTTATTCACAGAAGGTCTCTGGAAATCCTGTTATTGCTCCTCACCTTTACAAATTTCATAGAATTGACCAAGACATATGGGACCACCCGTACAATGATAAGTTCATTCCTATAAGTAAATTACAGTTTCTTGCAACTTATATCTGTATTTATCTTTTCATATTTGGCCAAGGGAGTGTTGCATCACTTTCAAAAATTTTAGTTTCTTGCTAAAATTATATATGATGTTTGGATGTCTGAAGTAGGTAGAACAGTGTTTCAATTTCCTCTGATACTCAGACTTGGGCACGGGAACGGGAACGGGAACGGGAACGTATCTAAGCGCCGGATCTTTTATTTTCTAATATATAGAAAACGGGACATGGCTAAAAAGAGTTCAAATTTCGGACACGGGTACATTGATACTTCTTTCAAGCTTCAATTTTTTTACTAACCCAAGATATTATTTTGAATAGACCGAAAATCAATTGTTCACAAAGAATTAGTATTGAATAAGAGGTTAAGACGAATAAAATGAAAATTTGGGGTTTAGTTTTCAATTATAAAAGGTTAATTACTAAATGTTATATAAAATATAAAATGAGGGGACCGATTGCGTTTTCTACTTAGTGGAGTACTAAGTAACACTATATGGAACTCATTTTCATTTTAAACAACAAAAAAAGTTCTAAACCATCGATACAGAGAGAGAAAGAAAGAAAAAAGAAGAAAAGTGGAAGAAAAAAAGAAAGAAATAAAGAAGAAGGGGAAATCTTGCGCTGTTGCCTTTCTCCACCTTCTAAGAGGTGACGCTAGGTTTATAGAGAGCAAAAAAAAAATAAAATAAAATAAAATAAAAATAAAAGGAGAAGCAGCAATAGCAAAAACAATGAATTGTCCAATTGAAAATTGGAGGATTCGACGCATATCGCATTCCCATATTTATGTCGTGTCGTGTCCGACACGGGTATTCTGACCGTTTCAAAAAGTCCAAGCATCAGAGTCAGTTTCTATTCTCTTAGATTGAATGGCTTGTTGACCAAAATATTTTAATGGCATATTTGGTAGGGAGGATTTGATAGTACTTGGCTACAATATTTTTTATTATACCTTCAAACCTATCTAGTGCTATGTGTCAAACATGCACTAAGGTTATTCCAGCATTGCTTTAACATATATGTGCACTCTGCTGTTTCTTTTATCATTTCGTTCTTTTAAATCTTAGGTTTTGAGGATTGAATTGCTGAATAATTTTCCTTGTCTAACTCAAATCTGTTTCGTTATTACAGTTGTCTTACTCTTTAGTAAATCTTGCTCAAGGCAAAAGAGCTGCAAACGAAGCTTTGCAGCAAAGACTTGGGGTTGAAAAAGGCTGATCTGCCTTTGGTAGGAATTATCACCCACATAACTCATCAGAAGGGAATACACCTTATTAAACAGGCTATCTGGCGCACCCTGGAATGCAATGGATGGGTATTCTTTATTTTCTCTGCTTTTCTTCCGCATATGAACTAATGACAATGGCATTCAAATTAATTTCCCTCCCCTTGTTTCTTACGACTATTATTCTTGGGCATGAATAATGTTTTATTCCGTCCGGTTTGGAAATCACGACGACGTGGTTCTGAGACCAAACAAAGCTAATCTGGGGTAGCAACTCTTGTTGGCTAATTGTTTTATGTCTGCATTAGAGTTTACTTTATCACCTCATGTTCTTCATATGTTTCGTTGACTGTATTTTATGGGTGACATTATATGTAAATTTACCTCATCAAATCAAATCAATTTTTAATTTTTTTGTAATGGATTATCATCACTTCCCAATCAAATCAACTTCATTTAATGCACATATCTCCCATAAACCATTGTCGCTATACACACTAACATTACCTTGAAAATATAAGACTGGTTTTGCAAAAGGAGAGTTAGAATTTCAGTTAGTAGGCAATTCAACAGCTACTGATCATTTATATGTATCCACAGAAGTTAAATGTGAAATTGAAGTTGTATAACAAATCTCAGCCTGTATAGTATATAGAATTTGTTTCAGAAAATTTCAAGAAGAGAAGCTTGAAGTAACTGTAAAGCTATCAATCTGAACCAAAATTTGAAATTTGAAAGCTCTGAATTGTGTTCTAAAAAGTCGAGAAAATTTTTAATACTCTCAGAGTATGCAACTTTATACTTCTGCAACTATTTAATTGAAGTATATTAGTCATTCATGTTTGGTCTCAATTAAATGGCAAGTTTCAATTACTTAATACATACGTCAATTAAATAGGGACATGGATTATCGAGTACTCCATACTCTCGAGAATCTAAAGCTTGATGTGTTTTTACTAAGCAATTGGTACCTGACATAATATGATCTGAGCTTGAGATATCTGCACTAGAGGGGTTTTCAGATTAGAGCATCACCGAAAAACTCTTTAAACATAACATGCTTTTTATTTTAAAAAATTCTTAAAATCATATTTCAAGAGATTCTTTAAATTAATATTTTAATTTAGAGAGTGAGTTTGACTTTTCAAATTTGGAGAGTCAAACTCATTCTTTATAATTAAATGTATTCAAAGATTTCAATGTTTATTGTAGAAAAAATAATAAAATAATTTAGAGAAAAGTTAGTTAAAATAAAAGATAAAGAAAAATAATAAATATTTTTTGAGAGTAGTAAAATTAAGTATTAAACATAAAGAGTTTGTTGGAGTATTTTAAAGTTTTAATTCTCTAAATTTATAGATGTTCTCTAAATGATAAAATATGCTCTTTAAAAATAGAAAATCTTTTGGAGATGCTCTTAGCCCAAATCAAAGCTTCTAATTGTATGGCTCATGTTTTCAAAATAAATTTAACTAAATTTCTTGTTTCCTATTATTTTGTCTTGGTTCATTTATCTCCTTTTCTTCATTGGGTGTAATTCATCCACTTGACGTCTCAAGTTTAGTTATCAGTTATCGATTTTAGAGCACCCATGGACATCAAATTGACCAACTTTTGCACGGACTTGGTTTCCTCCAGCTTTGGATCATGATCATTCAATATTTCATCACGGATGAAAGGACTCACTAACTAATACTACTATAATATAATGGAAAATAACCATTTTTTTGTATACATTATTCGATTATGTTGTTATCACGAGCTTTGCACAATCGATCCAATTATATAGATATCCATTTTGTACAACAAAAGTCATTGAACATTTTAGCTTTTGTCTTTTTGACATAATACGTTGGAACTCAACGCTTTAAATATGTGCTGCACTCGAAAAATTAAACCGACTTGGAATTTCTTAATGACAGTCAAGATCTCATTTTCAATTTCAGAATTATCCAAGCTATTATTTTGTCATCATCAAAACTTGCTCTAGATTCCTTAATGGAGTCCATCCTGTCGTTTCAGTTTTCCATGAAAAGGAAAAGGAGGAAAGTAGAATAAATAAATCTCCATATAATTCTATCTACGCAGGAGCCCATTAGACTAAAGCCCAAAAAAAATTAAAATTTCGACCCAAAACCTGCTTCACATTTTTAGCCTAAATCCGGCCTGCGCGCACCATTCCAAAGATGAATCGGTTGAGTACCGAACTCTAGATCTCCCTCGCCGCCGTCTGCAGCCATTTTGACCATTATAGATTAAGTGGGCTCTACCTATGAGAGGGACATTAAGCCTCTTGAAGTACAAGAGGAGAATTGAGATCCTCATGAAGACGCTACCTCTATTAAAAAGAAAGCTAGAGCTAACTAAGAATTTAAGCAAGAACTTTAAATGAAAACATAAGGAATATTAAGTGCTTGTTTGGTAGGGATTTTGATAATTGATTTTTTGACAGTTAGAGATTAAGTGGGTTCTACCTGTGAGAGAAAAATTCAAAAATGACGGATGGAATAGTGAAATAACGGTAAAAAAATTGATTTTAATTGATTTAAAATCTGTACCAAATAAGTACTGAACTGTTAAAGTCTCAAAATGCATCTCATTTTGCCTTGAAGATCAACTCTGGTTCAGAGAGATTGCTTTTTCGTTTATATGCTCTTCACCAATAGTAATGAAATCGAGCACCAGCTTTGATGCTTGTAAATGTATTTATATGTTAGTGCTTCAATTATACTCTGTAGTTAATCTCTGGTTAGAAATATTTTCTGATATGCTTATATATTAGTTTGCTATGGATAGAAACGAGTCTGTCCTTATGGATAATCCTTAAATAAATATGTCCATATTGCTATCACCGGAAAACCGCCACTTAACTCATACTCGAACCGACCTAGCAAATATCCACCACGCACCTCCATCTGCTGTCACTCGCTACCGACAATTATTACTGCAGTTTAACCGCCCTCCACAGCAGGCGTCTGCTTCATCCGGTTCCAACATCCTCTGCCCCTAGAAACGCCATAATCAGAATCCCAAGGCACCCACCATCCGCCAAT